GAAAAAGGAACCCTTATTTACTACTAATGATATTGTAAACTGGTGCAACCACTCTGGAAATAAACCACTCTGGTTCTTGGAGAACCCTCAAAAAGCTAAAAGAATATACCATATGATCCATCTATAACCACTTCTTGGACATGCCCAACAGTCTTGACATCCTATCCCATGGATACTTGGTCAACTCTTTTCATCACAATAGCTGGGAAATGGAAACAATCTAAATGTCTTTCAAATGATGAATGGATAATAAAAATGTGGTAATACACACCATGGAATTCTATTCAGCTGTAAGAAACATAAAATCTGCACATAAATGGATGGAACTAGAAAAAAACATATTGAGTGAAGTAACCCAGACTCAGATATATGTCTGATGTTCTTATCTGTGGCTCCTAACTACAAATCTTCAGATGTGAGTATATAACCTGAAGTAACTGCAGAAGCCAGTGAAGTGAAAAGGATCATGGGAGGGGTGGGCAATTAGGGAGGGAGGTCAATCCAGAGAGAGAGAGGGGGAGGAAAATAAAATAACAGCAAGCATATTTGAAAAAGCCATAAGGAATCATTTATTTATTTTACCTAAAATTACATTTAATACATATAAGTATATGTATAAGTCTCTCTTTCCCTCTCACCCCCCCCCCCCCCCCCCCCCCCCCCCCGCCACCATTGAGATGACAATGTGCCACCCAAATCCATAGATTATCCAACAAAACTCCCCAAACCCCCAATACCAGGCATAAGAAGCTCCCAGACTTCCAAAATATTATAGGGTGTTTTTGTTACCTTTTGTTGCCTCCTAGAGGTTGAAGATCAAGTCCCTATTGCTGAAGACACAATGCACCCCAGATACCCAGAGGATCCAAGCTGGAACTGAACTGAAAGCCTCCTCCCTGAGGACTAGCTTTCATGATACCAGAAGGTGTTATGCAAACTTCCAAGGGAGAGAAGCAAACCATAGTCCTACTCAGCTATGATGCCTATGAACTACAACAAATGACCAGCATGGTATGATAACCCTAAGGGTATATACAGTAGTGGCATTCATATCTTGGTGGCAACCAACCAAGTGTAATTGGACTTAAAGCCCCTCTCAACTTGGTACTGGAAACCTAGCAAATTATCCAGGGCCAGTGAGGTTGGGGATCTTGGAGGAGAACCTACAACCATCCCTTTCCTAAACCAGCATAATTTCTAACTTCATTCTAAACATTAATCTTTATGCCCACAAGTAAGTGTAACTCCCACCCTCACCAAAGAAAATTCTCTTTGCAATAGATGGAGACCATGACAGAAAACCACATCCAATCAAAATGCAGAGAACAAGTGATTATGTGGTACCTGGCCCCAGCTGATACATTTGCAACATAACTTCTGGACCTAACAGTCAGGGAATATTGAGGAAAAGGGGACAAAAGGATTGTAAGAGCCAGAGGAACAGGATCTCTGATGTGAGATTTGTCCCCTGGAAATGACAGGGATGCTACGTCGGTGAGTTCTCAACCACATGGGTGCCTAAAGAACACCCAAGCAAGGAGGGCACCAAGAGACATGCTAACATGGAAGGTGGAAAGCCTGTAGGGGCCCCAACCCAAGACTAAGAACTACAGACTAAGGAATGCTGAGAGAAGTAGAAATAGAAATAGAAGAAATAGAAATAGAAATAGAAGTAGAAATAGCCTTCCGCAGGAAGGAGCCGCACCAATTGGTTATCCAATACTGAACAGTCAGCCCCAAAATACATGTGCAGGTAACATGGTACGAACTGAACAGGTTGTATGCACACACTCATAGATCAACAGTTGAAGAAAAGGAATCCGAGGCAGAAACTGTAGGGAGGATCTGGAAGTGAGACATTCAATAAGAAAAAATATTTTAGAAAAAAGTCAGGCACAGTGGTCTATGTCTTTAATTCTAATGCTGGAGAAGTACAGGGAAGAGGATTCACAGGGATTTCTGGCCAGCTAGCCTAGTGAACTCCAGGGTCTAGGTACAGTAAGAGACCCTATCTCAAAAAAAAGAGTAGAATATAATAGAAGACACTCACCACTCACCTTCTGACCTTCACAAATAAATACACATAAGCATACACATGCCTGCAGACACAAACACATAAAAGTAAAATAAAAACGGATAGCCCAGAACCTCCTTGATTAATATTAACATAATGTACACCTATATTATTATATTATTGCATACCTATTATGGACCAAATATTGCATTTTGTATTGCCATAGATTATATAGCAATATCCAGAGATGAAAAATCATATATTCACTCTACTCTATTCTGAAAGAACCTAGTTGATTTTTGGACTTCTGGGAAGGAACATGTGTGATTTGGAGAAAGCCAGTAATTGGATGTCTTGAGGCCCAGATGCAAGAAATTTCCTTAGGATTTGCTAAATGACATTAGGTCCAGCAGACATAGGAAAAGGAAACGAGCAGCAACATATATTTTGATCATGTATTCTGTCATGATCCCCCCCCCTCCCCATACTTAAATCTGAAGCATTATCTCATATCTCTACTTAATAACCCACTATCTTTGCCTTACTCTTTTTTGTTGTCGTGTAGTCAAGAGTCCTACTTTATCTGAGGGGAGGTGCTCATGACAGTGAGAGTTAATACCATCAACTTGGCAACATCCAGAATCACCCAAGACAAGCCACTAGGCATCCTGGTGAGGGATTCTCTTGACTAGGTTAATTGATAGACTCACCTTAAATATGAGCAGTCCAGGTACTGGCCCAAATATAAGGAAGTCCTGGGGACTGGCTTTGAGCTTGCTTGCCTTTGCCTGTGCTGGGTGAGTTCATCTACTCTGTTTCTGCCACTGCCACTGTTGATATTGCCACCTCTGGCATCTTTCACTGATATCAGAATCCAGATTTTTCCAGTGGACTAGTAGTGGCTCTCCAGGAATCCTTAAAGCTTTTGGTGTCAGGTTGGGACTGCTAAGGTATCTAATCTTGAGGACTGCACTGCTACCAGGACAGCCACCGTTGGGCCACTCACATTGTATTGTATAAACCAATCTAAAACAAGCAGACAACCAAACCAAACAACAAAAAACCAAAACAACCTTCTTTTAATTAATATCTATGCATTCCATCTATTCTGTTCTCCTAGAGAACCCAATACAGTTCTCAGATATCCGCCTGCCTCTGCCTTCCTAGTGCTGAGTTAAAGGTGTGTGCACTACTGCCCTGCTCCCAATACAGTCCTTTAGCAAGGAACTTCTCAGGCTCTGGCAGCACTGCTGGGCTGTCTCCCCATAGCTATTGACAACACCACACCGTTTGCTAATTTAACAAGTTTCTGCAGATGGAGGCAGTGTGTTGCTATGTAATCCAAGGTACAAAGCAATGCTCCTTCCTTAGCCACCCAATGCTGGAAAAACAGGCATGGGAGACCAAGCCCAGCTTGGCTGCAGAATTCCTTAGCCATAAAAGATAATCCTGACAACAGAGCGAAACAACCTCCCTCCTCCAGGAATATAAGGAGATCTTAAGAAGTCTGTCTTATTCTTTCATAGTCCCACCACGTTTATCTGAAGTGATATTCTTTTTTTTTTATTTAAGGCAGCGTCTACTATTTGTTCCTTGGTGGTGTACGCATTCAGAAGGGGTTGGTTTTCAGATACGGTTCCCTCGGACCTTTGTGTCATGTCCTTCACTTTGCAAGAGGAAGGGGTAAAAGAAAAGTCATCAACATGCAAAACCTGTCACCAGATGCCCTATTCTGACCCAACTGCCAGACCTCCCTGGTCTGCCTGGCTGCTCATGCGTTCAGCGGATTCTCAGGCGCCACCTCCAGGTGTCAGTACAGAGATGGGGGAGGAGGGTGAGCTCACCCTAGAAACCGAAAGGCAAATGGTGAGGCCATGCGCGTCTGCACAGCAGCATGAGGACTTGCCGAGGGTAGTGGAAGTCTATCAGAGCAGGGAAGTATTTCTTTGCCTTCTGTAAAAGGCTCCTCTCTCAGGCTCGCATACAGCTCCAGAGCAGCACAGGGATTTCATGTGTCAAGCGCCTTCCCCAATTCAGTTTCTGAGTCTCTGACGCCGAACTCAGAGACTTTGGGGAGCGTCATGGACATCCTATCCACCTTTCTAAATGTACCGGCACCGCAGATAGATACTAATGTATAGGATGGGAAAAGCAGTTCGCCCGGCGTTGCGTCTCTACGCCTGAGGCTCGGACTGCAGCGCTGGGCACGAATTGCGCATGCTCTGTGCGGGGGGGGCGTGGCTCCGGCCGGAAGCATTCCCTCCCAGGCGGCATTTCTTTCCTGTGCGAGGCCGGGCTAGGGCTCCTAGCGCCTCTGGTCCTGCCTCTGGGTGAGTAGCGGGTTCCCGCGGGGCTGGGCCAGGTGCGTCCCCCATCCCTCCGGGTCCCCGAGGGCCTGGCGCTCACCCGGGGAGCCTAGCCCGACAGTCACCTGCCCCCCCACACCGGTCACACTTGAGCGCTGCCCCGGCCCAGCCGGATCCAGCGGATTAACCTCCAAGGGCGTCCGGGGCCTCGCCTTGGCGCCCGGCCCGGCGCGAGCCCTCAGGTCTCGGCGCTGGCGGGAGACTTCGGCCGCTCGCAAGGACATCTCCTGTAGGCGGCCTGGTCCCGGCAGGATTGGGGGCGCTCTGGGCGACCCTGGGAGCAGGCTTGTAGGAAGGCGGCTGGAAGGAACCGGTCCGCTCGTGCCGCCGGTCCTGCCCTCTTTGTGCAGAGGCGGAGGTGTTTCCTCAGGGCTGGCCACGCTTTCTCGGAAGATGCTGATGTTAATCATGACCTGTCCTCTGCTCGGAGCGCGGCAGGCATTCGTGGTCACAGGCTGCGTCTGCATGGCCTCGGTAGCTGGGTTGAAAGACCATTCGTAGAACACTGCAGTGACTTAGGAAGAAAATATTGCCGTATAATAAACGTTAGTAGGTTGCAGAAAGATACGGTATCCGCACTGAAACTAGAGCTCAAAATGAAACTGCTGTGTAAAGTTGTATTTGTGTAAAGATAATAATCACACCGGTTTTGTGGTGTCTTAGGTTGTATACAGCAGTGTGTATATATTGCTAAAATTAGTGTTTATGCAAAATTGAAATACATTCTCTACGTTTGCAGCGTTTATTGTACACATTTTTGAAATGATAAGGAACTGTAATAGCCTTATTCTGCAGATATAGCAATGCTATGTGAATGATAGAATGGTGTACATCTCATCTATGGAGACTGTATAAAATTTTTCATTTCTATCAGGACGTTTCAGGATTTTGAAGTCACTTAAGGTAGGCATGCAGTAGTCTTAAATCTGCCTTGAATCACCGTTAATTTTGGAATAGGAAAAATTGTCCTTGGCTGTTTTTTGATAGGCTTAAAAATTGTTACTGTCTTGATGACTTTAAGGAAATGTGCTCTGGAAACAGCCCACAGCGCTGACTTACCTTTGTAATTCACGGACTACCCAGTAGATGGCAATTTCAACATTTTAATTAAAACTTTTTTTTTTTTTTTTTTTGAGGCAGGGATGTTTTATGTAGTTTAGGTTAATCTTGAACCCTGTGCAGCTCAGGTTAGCCTTGAACCTTAAGTCTTAAGTCTTTTGAGTGCTGAGATCCCTGGTTTTTTGTCACTGTACCCAGCTCTGACCCAAACTTTTGAAAAACAAAAACTTTATTGGAATGTCATGACTTTTCACAGATTAACAAAACCCTTATTCCACCTATTGGATTATTTTCAACTGTGTTTGCAGCTTTATTGGGATAAAGACAAAGGAAGTAAAATTTTCAGGTCCTTTGTGAAGCTGACTGTCATGTGTCCTATATTTGAAATCCATACTAATGGATAATACTATGGATACTAATCCATACTGTGATTTGTTACATGAGGCAATTATAATTTGGTGGCTAAGTTAGTTTCATTTTTTTCTTTAATAATTAATATAACTGCACTGTATTTTTGAGTACTATGTATTAGCCATTTTAGCACATTTTTGGAGATGTTTGGGAAGTTCTTATTGAGTGAACTACTTATCCTAGGCCAAAGTTTCTTTATCCAAAATGAGCTCTTTCAGTTACTCGTTTAAATAATTACTGTGATTTGAATGGCTCCTAACAGAGAAGTGTGAACACTGACTTGGAAATACTTTAGAAATCTGACAATGCTATTGGATGACTGAAAGAATTCAGAGGTTTTTCTCTACTTCACAGCTATAAACAAATATTAGAGCTGTTTCAAAGAAAGCCAATGAGAAGCATTTTAGATTAGCAGTAGTAAGAAAAGTGTTAGAGCTAGAAGGAACATGGATAAAATTAGTCTTTGCAATACCCACCTAGCACCTATCACTGAACAGTCTAGATTCTGGTTTATTTCTACATGAGTTAATATGTATGTATATTTTTTCTTCTCCCCTTCTCCCAGCACTTGCCAAGGCTTAAAGACATTGTTGGACACTGATATCCTATCTCCTAAAATGTGATAGTCACATCCTTCCTGCTAAGCTTATTTTGTGAAGGTACTGCCTTTGACACTGGAGTGAATTCCTGCTGTAAACCTGATTGTTGTAGTTGCTCAGAGATGTAACATATTTAAAAGTAGTCACATCACCTCCTTTCCCTCTGTTTGTGGGTGTATTCTTTTGTTTGTGATAAGCTCTTTTTTTTTCCTTCGAGACAGGGTTTCTTTGTGTAACAGTCTTGGCTGTCCTGGAACTCACTTTGTGGGTCAGGCTGGCCTCGAACTCAAAGATCCACCTATCTCTGACTCCCAAATGCTGGGATTAAAGGGACAGACGCACCACCACTGCCTGGCTGTGATAGATTTTTCTTATGTAACCTATTATTGTTGAGACAGGATCTCACTGTAGCCCAAGCTGTCCTACAACTCACTGTGCACTCCAGATAGGCCTCTAACTCCAGACAATCTGTCTCAGGCTCCCAAGTACAGGGATTCCATGCATGAGACATGTCCAGATCCTCCGTTCGTTTTCATGCCACTGTAGTCAGTCCATTATCCTTTCTTGTTCCCCTTCACCCTTCCCTTTAGAGTAGTGGTCCTCAACCTTCCAATGCTGTGACCCTTTAACACAATTCTTTATGTTGACCCCCATGAAATCACCATGTTGCTACTTCATGACTAATTTTGCTACTGTTATGAATCAACATGTAAATACCTGATATGCAGGATGTCTGATACATCTGTCACCCTAAAGGAGTCTCGACCTACAGGTTGAGAGTGCTGCTTTAGATCTTTTCTTTACCTCTTATTGTCCTTTGTGCTTTCATTCCCTACATTTATATTTCTAACTTTTATTTGTTTATTTGTGGGTTTTTTGTGTTTTTTTTTCACAGAGTTTCTCTTGTGTAACGTTGACTGTCCTAGAACTCGCTCAAAAATTAAATTTAAATATAGAACATGCTATATTGGTCTTTCTGATCCTGCTCATTTACTTACCATAATGCTCTCCAGTCTTCATTAATTTCCCTGAAAATGTGATCATTTCTTCTTTCTAGCTCACTAAATCCCATTGTGCACCACAATTTCTCCATCCATCCATTCATCTGTTGGTGAACATCTAGGCTAGTTCTAGTTCTGTAGCTTGGCTATTGGGAGTAGGTTAGCAAAAAGCATGATTGTGCAAGTATCTCCTGGTATGCTTACAGTTCTTTGGGTGTGTGGTATAGTTGGTCTCCATACTGATTTCTGTAGTAGTTGCAGCAACTTTCATACCCCCTAGTATTGTATAAACATGATTCCTGCTTCTGTACATCCTTACCAGCATTTGTTGTTTTATTGATGTTAGCCATTCTGACTGGGATGTGATGGAATGTCAAGGCAGTTTTAATTTGCACTTTTAATTTACCTCATTAGACTATCATTTAGTGATTGGGTGTTGTGTGTGTTTTTAAGTTTTTAAATGCTTTAAATAGTCTAGGTATTAAGCATTTGTCAGATGTATAGTTTGTTGTAGTTGGGCTTTCTTGTCCCGCCAGCTCACAAATAACTAAATGGAGACTTATTATTAATTATGAAAGCTTGACTTTAGCTTAGGCTTGTCCCACTAGTTCTTACAACTTAAATTAACCTGTTTCTATTAATCTACGTTCTGTTTAGTTGGCTTGTTACCTCTCCTTAATTCGGTATGTCCGACTCCCTCTGCATCTCCATGGCGACTCTCTCTTTTCCTCCCCCAGTCTTCTCTTTCCTGGAAGTTCTGCCTAGCTCTCCTGCCTAGCTATTGGCCGTTCTGCTTTTTATTACACAAATTACAGCAATATATCTTCACAGTGTACAACTATCCCACAACAGTTTGCAATTTTTTTCTCCAGCAAATACTGTAACCCTTTTCCCCTAAGCTGAAGACCAAACCAAGGATCTTGATTTGCTAGGCTAAATCCCCAGACCTCCAGACTAATTTTCTTGGTTCAAAATTTTTGAAAGTTCTCTTGCTTCATATTTACGTTGTTGTTGGAAGCAAAGGATGGTTCAAAGACTTTAATGTCACTTATCAATTAAGAAACCGTATATTTATTTCTGTGAGGCTGAGGCCAGCCTAGTCTACATAGCTAGTTCTAGGACACCCAGGGCTACTCAGAGAAACCCTGTCTCAAGAAACAAAAACCAAAACCAAAACAAACAACCAAAAAGGTGCATATTTAAATTTGAGCAGGTTTTAAAAACCTTAAATATAAGTATGTGAAACGAGTCAATTTGTAGTTAGATTTCACTCTCCAAAAACTACTTGGTATTTGTTGTGCACAATAGAATAAATGTATGCTCTTGGATTAGTAAAACTCTTGTTAACCTCCTTTTCTTCAGTTGGATTAATATTAAAATTATAGTTTTCCAGGTTCTCTGAAACATATCTAAAAGCTAAGAGTAACATAATATCTCCACTATACCTTCTTTTTTGTCCTCAAGACAGGGTTTCACTGTGTAGTTGTGACTGTCCTGGAACTCACTCTATAGACCAGGCTGGCCTCAAACTCACAGAGATCCACCTGCCTCTGCATCCTGAGTGCTGGCTTAAAGGCATGCACCACCGCACCAGGCTTCCACTATACTTTTTAATAAGTGTTCATCCTCTAACTAAACCTCTATCTATTATGTTTCAGTTTCTAAGGGAAGCTTTTAATTTGTTTGTTTACTTAACATTTAAAAAGATAGCTTTCCTTCAAATGAGACATTTTTTGAATGATAAGCAGTGTTTTATTTTGACCAGAAGTTAGTTTCTTTTACTTAGTTCAATCCACTTTCTCTCCCAATTTTAGCAAATACTGTTATTTCCTAGTGACTTTTCTTTTCTTTTTTTTTTAGGTTAATAGTCAAGATGGTACATGCTGAAGCCTTTTCTCGTCCATTGAGTCGGAACGAAGTTGTTGGTTTAATTTTCCGTTTAACAATATTTGGTGCAGTAACATACTTCACTATCAAATGGATGGTAGATGCGATTGACCCAACCAGAAAGCAGAAAGTAGAAGCTCAGAAACAGGTATGATTTCAGGGTATGAAGGTCATGTCTCCTATGCTAGCAAATATTTTTTTACCCAAGCTAAGATTATAAATGATGTGCAGAAATTCATTGGTACATCTTCTCAATATCAATCCTAAAAGTCTTTTTTACTCTGTAAATAAACATCAGAAGAAAAATGATGAATGAGAATATAGATTTTGTTGTTGTTTTATTTTTGTCTGATTGCTTTTTTTTTCTTCTCTCGTTTTATTGAAAATTGATTTTTCCCCCTCACATAATGTATCCTGATTCCAATTTCCCCTCTCTCTACTCCCAATTCTTTCCTACCTCCTCTCCTATCTGGATCCGCTCCCTTTCTGTCTCATTAGAAAACAAACAGGCTTCTAAGGGATAATAATAAAATAAAATATAATAATATAAAACAAAAACTTAACACATATAAATTGGATAAAACAAACAGAGGGAAAAGAGCCTAAGAAAAGACACAAGAATCAAAGACCTACTTGTTCACCCACTCAGGAATTCCATAACAACACTAAACTGGAAGCCATAATATATGTGCAGTACCTGGTGCAGACCTCTCCAGGCTTCAGTCTCTGAGTTCATATGAGCTGTTATCATGTTGATTTGATCGCATTGTAGAGCACGGTTCTCAATCTATAGGTTGTGCCCCACCAGAGGTGGGGTGGGCTGTTAAATGACCCTTTCATAGGGTTGTATATCAGATATCCTGCATAGTAGATATTTTCATTATGATTCCTAACTAGCAAAATTGCAGTTGTGAAGTAGCAATGAAAATAATTTTTTCGGGGGTCACTACAACATGAGGAACTCTATCAAAGGGTCACAGCATGAGGAAGGTTGAGAACCACTGATGTAGAGGGCTTGTTGGTGTCCTCCATTCCCTCTGGCTCTTCAGTGCTTTCTGTCTTCTCTTCCATATGATTCCCTGAGACCTGAGGTGGGGAGGAATTTGATGGAGACATCCATTTAGGGCTGAGTGTTGCAAGGTCTCTTGTTCTCTGCATAAAGTCTGTCTGTGGGTCTCTGTATTTGTTCTCTTGTGCTGCAGGAACAAGCTTCTGTGATGGTTCAGCAAGGCACTGGTCTATGAGCAAAGCAGAGTGTTGTTAGGAGTCATTTTATTGCAAGGTGTTTTTGTTTGTTTCAGAACAGTAGTATTTATTTTTACCCTAGGTCCCTGGGCTGTCTAGTCTCAAGTTCTTGGTCACTCAAGTCCCAAGCAGTGTCAGGTGTGGGTTCCATCTTGTGGAGGGGGCCTTAAGTCAAATCAGATATGTTAGTTACTCCCACAAGCTTTGTGCCACCATTGCCCTAGCTTTAGTGGCCAGCAGATCTTGCACACAAGGTATCATCGTAGATCAGGGTTTGTGGCTGGGTTGGTGTTTTATTGTAGCACGAATCTTAAAAGGTCTTATTAATAAAAACAAACCTGGAGCCAGGTACTGGGGTCAGTGCTGGAAGATCAGAGAAGCAGAACCAGCCACAGCCACCTCACCTTGCCAATTCCTCAGCTGATCCTGTTTCCTCAGACTGGAAGCCTCTGAGTCCTCATCCAGAATGACTCTCAGCTGAACTGCTGCTCAAAAGCCTAAGAGCTTAACCAGCTCTAGTTCCTGGTTTTCACACCTTATATACCTTTCTGCTTTCTGCCATCACTTCCTGGGATTAAAGGTGTGCATCACCATGCCTGGCTGTTTCCAGTGTCCCTTTGAACTCACAGAGATCCAGACGGCTCTCTGCCTCTGGAATGCTAGGATTAAAGGCGTATGTGCCACCGTTTTTTTTTTTTTGGTCTCTATATCTAGTGGCTGTTCTGTTCTCTGACCCCAGATAAGTTTATTAGGATGCACAATATATTGGGGGACACAATATATCACCACATTTTATGTTCCCCATTTGGTAGCATGCTTATGTACCTTCCTGTACCAGAGATGCTAGAATGTAGAGGTGAAGGCTCCATGTAATCACCAGCCCGACCTCTCCCTGTTCAGTGTGTTGTGTAGATGTTGTCTTAAGCAATGGAGCCTTTCTGTCAGTTCATGGAGAATAACCTATAATCTTGGCAACAGCCTGGGTTGTTTAGGGATTCCTATGGTACCCTTTTGGCTAACTACTCCATTAGGTGTAACCCAGTCCTGGTATTGAAAGCTTCATTTGTAATGAGATGTTTAGTTGGCACTCTGTCTCCCCCATTATTTGATGATTTCATTTAGATCACTTTCATATATGTATATATTTTAGTAAGTTTCTACTGTAGTAGGTTTTAATACTATCCCTCAAATGGCCCTTAATTTTAGCTCTCTCTCCCTGTATTTCCTCCCTTTTCCCCCATCTCCACTTGATCCTCCCAGCCCCCTATCGTCCAAGTCCATCCATCACTGTCTAGTCTATTTCCCTTTTTTAGGGAGATCTATCTGTTCCACTAGTCCATTACTCTATACCTAACCTCTGTGGTTCTGTGGATTGTAGCTTGTTTATCATTGACTTAACAGCTGATATCCACATATAAGTGATATATTTGTCTTTCTGGATCTGGGATACCTACTCAGGATGATTTTTTTTTTTTTAAGCTCCACCATTTGCCTGCAAGTTGCATGGTTTCTTTTATTTTTTCTTTGTTTTGAAACAGCTGAGTAATGCTCCATTGTATAAATGTACCACATTTTCTTTATTCATTTTCCTATTGAAGGATATCTAAGTTGTTTCTGTTTAGAGTTGAGTTTTGTGCAGGGTGATAAGTATAGATCTGTTTGCATTCTTCTATATGCAGAAATCCAGTTTGACCAGCACCATTTGTGAAGGGTGCTGTCTTTTTTTCCCAGTGTGTATTTCTGTTTCTGTGTTTTTTGCTTGTTTTTTTTAATCAAAAATCAGGTGTCCGTCCATAGGTATGTGGATTTATGTCTAGGTCTTCAGTTTGATTCCATTGATCAATGTGTCTTTTTTTGTGTGTCAGTACCATACTGTCTTTGTTACTAAAGCTTTGTAGTACAGCTTGGAATTGGGGATGGTGATGTCTCTAGCAGTTCTTTTATTATTCAGGATAGTTATAGCTATCCTGGGTTTTTTTTTTTTTTTTCGAGACAGGGTTTCTCTGTGTAGCTTTGCGCCTTTCCTGGAACTCACTTGGTAGCCCAGGCTGGCCTCGAACTCACAGAGATCCGCCTGGCTCTGCCTCCCGAGTGCTGGGATTAAAGGCGTGCGCCACCACCGCCCGGCTTATCCTGGGTTTTTGTGTTCCCATATGGACCTGAAAATTGTCCTTTCATTATCTGTGGAGAATTGTATTGGAATTTTGATGAAGATTGCATTAAACTTGCATATTGTTTTTGGTAGCATGGCTGTTTTTATTATATTAAACCTACCGGTTCATTAGCATGGGAGATCTTTCTATCTTGATGTCTTCTTCAGTGTCTTAAAGTTTTTATCATACAACAAGTCTTTCACTTGCTTGGTTAGAGTTACCCCAAGGTGGAAATACAGTTGTTGGTTTGTTTGTTTGTTTTTTTAAAAACAATATTCTTTTTTGTTTGTTTGTTTGTTTTGTGAGACAGGGTTTCTCTGTGAAACAGTCTTGGCTATCCTGGAACTCACTCTGTAGACCAGGCTGGCCTTGAATAAAACAATATTCTTATTAGAATATTTTCATCAGGAACATGATAGAAATGAATATCGATGAAAATCTTTAGCAGAGCAAACACAAATAATTATTTTTGGCAACAGTAAACATTTTGCTTTGTATGGCATTTAAATTTGTAAACACTAATAAACTTAGACTTAAGTTTTATTAGACTTAAGTCTTAGACTTGGTACATACACCACCCCAAATTCTGTTAGCTTAAGAATGTTACTGGTTATAATTTGACTGTTTTCAGCTGCTGTCTCTTATGACCATTTCTTTACTAGGTTGAGACGTGTGTTTGATTTCTGTTCATTCTTTGAAAAAAAGGTTTAAAGAAGTCTTTCAGCTTTTTCTTGCTATTGAGGACAAGATGTTTCTACTCATGGCTTCTTAGGTTTATTTTATGAGTTATGACTGATTCATTTAATGAACACTTACATAAAAAGAGATGACATTTGCTTTTTCAAATGCTATAGACAGGCATGGGAGACAGATATAAATAAGTAGCTGTTTTACACATTAGGCATCATACCTAATTAGTAAAAAGTGAAAACCACAGTTTCATAAATATCATAGTAAATATGTTTCTGAAAAGAGTTTGGACATTTGTAAATTTATTGCCTGAATTTGGCTATAAAATAATTGGTGAGACGTCTAGCTTGTATTGTCAGCCTATTTTCACTATTTTAATACTCTGTGAAGTCTGATCAATATAGGGTTCTTTTATTTTATTTATTTTTTTTGGAGGGGGTCTTGCCAACAACAGAAATTTTTTTTTCTCACAGTTTTTAATACTTAAAGTTTGAAATACTTAAGGATCCAGCGTAGTTGAGCTTGTGAGGCTTCTTCTGGGTACAATATAGGGGTTGTTTGTTGTTTGAGTTTTTTCGAGACTTGTAGCCCTGGTTGGCCTGGAACTCACTATGTAAACCATGCTGGCCTGGAACTCATAAATACTCTCTTTTTTACCAAATGCTGAGATTAAAGCTGTATGCCAGCATGCTTGACTGTTATGTTGCTAAATTAATTTTAAAAGAAATTAATTTGATTGTGTACCTGAATGTAACCATGTATCTCTTCCCCATCCCTCACACCTCTTCTCCCCCCCAACACCCTCAAATCGTGGAAATCAGTTGAAGACTTAGGTCAGAATTTGATAAATTTTTTTTATTTTATCATTTTTGCAGTTTTTGGTAACAGGGCTTTGCATTTCATTGTATTTTTTTTTAAAAGATTTATTTTTATTTGTGTAAGTGTATATGAATGTAGGTTCCTATGGTAGCCTGAAGAGTTGTCAGATTTCCTAGAAGTGGAGTCAACAGGTAGTTGTTAGCTACGGGTGTGGGTGCTGAGAACCAGCTTAGGTCCTCTGGGTAGGCCCTAAGCATTCTTCACTGCTGAGCCGTCTCTCCAGCTCCAGAGCTTTTAGATAAAGAGTTTGTCCTTTTTTCTTTTCTGTGAACTCTTGAAATACTCATGTAGAAGACCCTATATGAATGGATTATTATAATTAAGACTTACTTGAAAACTATATATATATATATAGTGCTATATATATATATATGGTGCTAAATGTCAGCCAGCCCCAATTAGATACTTTCCTCTATAAGAGTTACTGTGGCCAGACAGTGGTGGCACATGCCTTTAATCCTACCACTTGGGAGATCTCTGTGAGTTCGAGGCCAGCCTGGTCTACAGAGTGAGTTCTAGGACAGCCAGAGGCTATGCAGAGAAACCCTGTCTTTTTTTGTTTGTTTGTTTGTTTGTTTTTTCAAAAGAGTTATGGTATCTCTTCACAGCAATAGAAACCCTAGCTAGGACAGCAGGTACTAACTACTTCTTAGGCTTAAAGAGGTTATCTGTTTGCCCAGAACTGGAGGTACAGATGGTTGTGAGCCATGATTTGGGTGTTGGAAGTCAAACCTGGGTCCTCTGGAAGAGGAGTCACTGCTCTTAATGACTGAGCCATCAACTTAACTCCTCTTTTTACCTTTCCTGTCATTGTTATCAACACAACCTAAATCATAAATGGAATTGCTGTTGCAGGAGATAGATGGTAAATGATGTTGTATTTTCCATTTTTATAAACTATTTTTGGTTGTGAGCCTAGCCTTTAACGGCTGAGCCATCTCTCCAGCCCTATTTTTATAAACTATATTTTAACTTAAAAACATTTATTTTTGTTGTGCATGTGAACACATCACACACACACACCTGCAGTAGAAATGTGATGGACATCACAGAACAACCGGTGGGCGTCTGTTCTCTCCCTCCATCATGTGGGTCCTGGGGATCAAATATAGGTCTTTAGCCTTCACAGCAAGCTCCATTACCTGCTGAACCATCTCACTAGCTCGCAATGTAATTTTTACTTAGGAAATTCCATGTATTAGTAAAGGCTATTATTTATAGTAGACAGTTGTGACATACAATAACGTTTTCAAGGCAGCTAGTTAATAAGAAAAGACTTGATATTTCTCAGTTTCTGTACTTTTGACATTTTGGGCCTGATAATTCTTTGGGATGTGGGCAGGGGCTTCTGTGTCATGCCTTGACTGACTATATCAGTGGTTCTCAACCTTCCTAATGCTGTGACCCAGTTCCTCATGTTGTGGTGACCCCAACCATAAAATTACTTCATTGCTACTTTATAACTATGATTTTGCTACTTTTAGGAATTGTAAATATCATTACGTTACAGGATATCTGATATGAGACCCCATATGAAAGGGTCTTTAGACCTCCAAAGGGATCATAACTCACAGGTTGAGAAACCATTGGACTAGATACTGATAACACCATGTCCTCCTCGTCTCCAAGTGTGATAGACAAGTATTTTTGACGTTGTCAAATGTCGCCTGGGAAATATAATGTCCCTGGTTGAAATCCACTTTTTTTTTTGAGTCTTGCCTGTACAAGGCGTACAGGGAAGAATACATTATTGTCTTAATAAGTGCTAAAATAGATACCTTTAATAGCTGACACAAAAGCTTTATTTATAGATAGTGAAAGAAGGTATGCATGTTCAAGAGATTAAGGAGGGGGCTGGAGAGATGGCTCAGTGGTTAAGAGCACGCTGTTCTTCCCAAGGTCCTGAGTTCAAATTCCAGCAACCACATGCTGGCTCACAACCATCAGTAGTGGGATCTGATGCTGTCTTCTAGCATAAAGTTGTATATGTAGATAGAGCACTCATATACATAAAATAAAACTTAAAACTTTAAAAGTACACATGTACAAACACTTCTTGCTTGTGGATATCTTAAGTTCAAGGAAATTGGATATCTGTTTCAGATACTTGATTAACATAAGGAAAGAAACTCAGTTGTCTATTGTTTGATATTAATTCATTGGGCTTCTATACTGACAACTCTACCTGTAACTGTCATCATAATCCTACTAGGAAAGAAAACAAATTACCCAGAGGTCTCTAGGGAGCCAAGGGAGCTTGAACTGATCTCTTCAATCATGTGTTCTATTCCCCCCTCCCTCCCTCCCTATCCTTCTCTCCCTTCCTCCTTCTCTCCTCTCTCCTCTCTCTCTCTCTCTCTCTCTCTCTCTCTCTCTCTCTCTCTCTCTCTCACACACACACACACACACACACACACACAGACACACCCCTTTTGAGACTGGTCTCATGTAGCCCAAGATGACCTTGAACTTGCTTGGTAGCAAAGGATGACCTTAAGCCCTTCTGCCTCAGCCATGGTATTACAGACATTACTGTGCCCAGCTCTCACTCAGTCCTCAGCCTCCCAAGTTCTGAGTTTTTTCCTACTACTGTGTGTGCTGAGCTTTCATTTCTCAAAAGCTGGTTAAATTTTCTTGGTTTTAGTAGAGTAGACCCTAAGTTGTTTTTTTTTAACCCCAAAGTCACAAGGGTCCTAGAGTATCCCTGGAAAAGTATTATCTCTTCTGCTCATTACTGTTCAGAATTCTGTTTTATCTGTTTTGAACTGTCAGTGTCTAAATAACAAATCAAAGCCTGCTTGTTTTTTTTCCTTTCTAGGCAGAAAAACTGATGAAGCAAATTGGTGTGAAAAATGTGAAGCTTTCAGAATATGAAATGAGTATTGCTGCTCATCTAGTAGACCCTCTTAATATGCATGTATGTATCTTTAATCTTGTTTTACTTTTACTTTTTTCGGGGTGGGGGGATCTGGCAGTCTGTGTCAAAGATCTGAAAGACCATGTCTAATTTCAGAGGGTCTCTAAGAGGAGTCAAGAGGGACTCAGCATGTTGCCAACACATATGTGATTCATTGCATGAGTTAGATACAAGACAGAGCAGCAATGGAAAAAAAGAGTGGATCAGAGCCTGGAGAAAGCTGGGCACTTTCCTAGGAGTGCTTTCCAAGTGCTGTCACAAGACCGTGTCCATTATTGTATCATGCCAGGACAACATGTACCGGTGTCATCACCAGAAAGGTTACTGGAGACTTAATCCAGTGTTTTTCCTGGGGCCTGTTCATATAGACTCCTTTTCCATATGTGTATCAAAATTCTGTACTCCTACAGGAAAAGATATATTCTCCATAAACCATATTGTTAGGCAGTTTGGGGACAGTGAGCTGTTTTTATCAAGGAATGGTAGGAAATTTCTCCAAATCTAAGTTTCCAGATAGTAGCCAAGGACCAGCTTGTTAAAGATATTGTCTGAAGCCTGCTGTGTTAACTTGGCACACAAAAGCTTAGTGAAATTCGTGCAGTGTAGGAAACTTGTATAATCATATGGTCTTTAATTGGAGAGTTTAGTCTAGATTTCCTAATTTTTTTAAAATGGTAAACAACATAGGATCCTGAATACCAGGTTTTCTAAGAACTCATTGCCTCTGCAGGTGATTTCATGTATTATCCTCAAGGATAATATAACATATAATATAATAGTATTTGTTTACTTACTTGGTAAAGTTTTTGAAGATCAGAGTAATATAATTTATAAATTTCAGGTTACTGTATAAATATAGCAACAGATATATAGAATATACTTAGCTAACACATTAATGCTATGTTGCTATAAATTTGTAGAATGAAATATGATAGCTGCATGTCTAAGTCTAGAAAATAAAAATCTGTGTCTTTATTATATGTATATGCAGAGATATATACATAGTCTAGAATTAAGCCCTGCTTTATTTTTACTTAGAAATTTCCAGTATCAATATTTTGTGAGGAGGAGAGGCAACTGTATTTGTTTGTGAATAAGGATGTACTAATAAACAATATTTTGTTTTGATTACAACTAGCGTTCTTTATATTTGTCTACTGGTTTGTTCCCCTGGCCCAAGCTTAAAGAGAGTAAATACATTGTAAAGTATTGCCTCTGACTTGATCATTTACTGTGCTAGCTAGGTTCACTCTTCCTTTTTTATTTATTTGTTCTATGTGTGTGTGTATGTGGTGCTTGGTGCTGGAGATTGAACTTAGAGCCTCACAAATGTTAGTGAGCAGTTTTAACCAAGACCTCCCTATAATTTATTTTATTTTTACATTTTTATGTATTTATTTTTTGTGCATTAGTGTTTTCTTTGCATGTATTTCTGTGCATCACATGCTTGCCTAGTGCCTATAGAGGCCAGAAGGCATCAGATCCCCTGGAACTGAAGTTATAGATGGCAGTGAACTGCCATGTGGGTTCTGGCAATCAAACCTGGCTCTTCTGGAAGATAAGCCAGTGCTCGAAACTACTGAGCCATCTCTCCAGCATACCACCCACACCCTTATTATTTTTAAAAGTGGAGTGTAGAAGATTTTAAGATTTTTCATTTTTCTTTTTTTTTTCTCCCCTTCAAGATAGGGTTTTCTCTATGTAGAACCTGGCTGACCTGGAACTTACTCTGTAGACCAGGCTAGCTTCAAATTCAGAGATCCACCTGCCTCTGCTTCCCAAGTGCTGGGATTAATGACTTAGAAGATTTTTCAATACTGTTTTTTTCTTTTTCTTTTTGGTTTTTCGAGACAGGGTTTCTCTGTGTAGCCCTGACTGTCCTGGAATTCACTGTGTAGACCAAGCTGGCCTCAAATCCACAGAGATCTGCCTGCCTATGCCTCCTGAGTGCTGGGATTAAAGGCATGTACCACCACTGCCCAGCTTTTTCTATTATATATATATATATATATATATATATATATATATATATATATATATATTATATACCTACTTATGATTTACTAAGATTCTTCCTATTTTTTTTTTAAAGATTTATTTATTTATTATGTATACAGTGTTCTGGCATGTATGCTTGCATGCCAGAAGAGGGCACCAAATCACATAAATGGTTGTGAGACACCATGTGGTTTCTGGGAATTGAACTCAGGGCCTCTGGAAAAGAAGCTAGTGCTCTTAACCTCTGAGCCATCTCTTCAACCCCTGATTCTTCTTATTTTTTGACAGTTTTGTTTACTTATTTTTTTGTGTGTGTATGTATATGGCATGAATTTGTGTGTATATGAGTCTTTGCATGTGCGTGTGAACATGAATATGAAGTTATGTATGTATACATGGATGTGGAGGTCAGAGGTTGACATCAGGTGGCTTTAATCACTTTCTACTTTATTTATTGAGACAAGGGGCCCTTGCTAGATCCAAAGCATGTGGGTCCGGCTGAGTCTAGCAGGCCAGCTTCCCCAGAAGCCTCTGCCTCCTAACTGTTAGAATTAGCCCCACTTGCCTTTATGTGGATTCTAGAGATCCGAACTCTTTGTTCTCATGTTATCTTCCTGAGCTCAACAGTTGTTCTTTTCATGAATACAAATTGCAAGTTCAATTTGGTGGGTATACATCTTATTTCTAAAACTGATTTCTGTTGTGTTTCACAATGAATGTAATTACATTCACAGTGAATTCTTCCCTGGTAGCCAGTGCTAAGTTATTTGTGTAAGTTTGCTCTTCAGTCTTTTTTGTTGTTTGTTTGTTTGTTTTTCGAGACAAGTTTTTTCTGTGTAACAGTCTTGGCTGTCCTGGAACTCACTTTTGTAGATCAGGCTGGCCTCAAACTCACAGAGATCCTCCTGCCTCTGCCTCTTGAGTGCTGGGATTAAAGGCATACACCACCATCGTCTCACTGTTCTCAGTCTTTTTTTTATATCAGAGTGTTTCTTTCTCTTGTGTGGAATGAGTTTGCCTTATTCAATCTTTACAGGTTTTGCATGTGTGTGCTTTTTGTTTTCCTGTTGCTGGAGTTGAACCCTGCAACAGAGCTTTGTATGCTAGGCAAGGTCTCCTGCTCCTGAGCAATGCTTTCAGCATGGTGTTTTTCTCAGTAATAAATTGTTAAATTCTTTTTCCCCCAATGTCATAGAATATATTAATTTAGTTACTCCCATGAAAAGTTTATTTTTATTTTTATCTACAGCTTTAACCTTTTATTCACATGCAATTATCAAATTATAAACTAGTTTGCCTTTGGGAGGGGTGCCTGTGTGTGCATGCTCACATGTATATAAGTTGTGAAATTAATGTTCACTTTAACTTTTGCCAGGTTACATGGAGTGATATAGCAGGTTTAGATGATGTCATTACAGATCTGAAGGACACAGTCATCTTACCTATCAAAAAGAAGCATTTGTTTGAGAATTCCAGGCTTCTGCAGCCTCCAAAAGGTACTGTTAGTGTATGAATTTGCCTAAGCTTTGAGAGGCTAGAAAACATGGAGTTTTTTTTGCCTTTAGGGACTATTTTCCATGAAATCAGATTCTTAGTAGAATGCTGAGATCCAATGAATTGTTATATAAAGAATTTTAAAATATTCACTTATTCTTCCACTTTTGAAATTTTGGTGAATTCTACTTCCTATAAGACAACTGTACAATAATCCCTTTATTTGAAATGCTTGTCTACTCTATGTAAATAAATTTGTCACTACTGAAGATCATCTCAAATTTGGATTTGTTTGTTTATGCATGTGTTATTACTAATCTTTTAGTGACTTATAGCATTTAACCATGCAAAGCTTTTATAAAAAAAAATAATCTGCACCTGTGTGGCCTGGGCAGGCGTCTCCATGACGGGTAAGGTGACCTGCTGACATCCCACACAACCTAAGTCAGAAGCTCATTTTTTAATAAAAGGGGGACCTGTAGGTCCCTGGTCCCTGTTTTGGGTAACTGTTGCCTTGCTTGCGGACCTTGACCTTGATATCCTCCCTATGCTAATTCCCTGCCAGGTTCCACCCTCCTGAATGCTTAAGGGAAGTTCCTTGTCTATGTATCCTGAATAATAGGCGTTAACAGCTTAGATGCAAGATTGTAAAACATCAGTAGTGAACTTCTGCCCTCCGGGGTCCTCCCATTGTGCTGTAAGCCTGTATTTAAGACCTCCTCCCCACTTCAAGAAATGACATTCGGCATTTAAAATTAAAAACACACACACACACACACACACACACACACATATATAAAATTGAATGAATACTGCAAATATAATCTATGAATACCACAAATGTGATTAATATCATGAGTGTAATTTAAAAAATAAATAAATAATAAAAAAATCCATCTTAGCTGATCCTATATAAGTATAGGTAGATGTGGTGATACATGCCTGTAATCCCAGCATCAGAGAGGGAGACTGTCTAGGGGGAAAAGGCACAAAGATTAACCTTTAAAGAGGGTGTGAATTTTTAAGCTTTTATAGAAGAAAACATTTTTTTATTTGTTGGATCTGTTGTGGAAGTATCAGATTAGTTCAGGGAATCTGAAAAGTTTGCACAGTGTCTCACTACTTATAGAGCTGTATATTACTCAGAATACATGTTAATGCCATGGAGACCACTTGAGCAAAAAGAGAAGAGGTGCTGCTTTGAATAGCCTTGCTAGCTAATAATAGCCTTGATTCATTGCTAATGTTAGGAGACTATTTGAGTGTTGGTGAAACAGCATCCATACAGGAATGTAATGGGTAATTCCAATGATAGCACTCAAACACTACTGTAAGACTTAGGATCCTGGTCACAAAATGAGACATTGACATCTCCTCACATGCACTTTGTCATAGCTCCATCTACCAGAGGATTATGACACTTAAAAGCTTTTATTGCACCTTTAATTCTTAGATATTAATAGTTGCATAGTTGAGAATACTAATTATAATTTGTAATGAGAAATAGTTGGGAAACTTTAATCTGCTAAGAATTAATACAGCTACAACCATGGGTAAAATATTCAAAGTGATAAATGTATACTTTGAAGCGAGTCAGATTCTTAAGGTACTGTGTATATTTGTAAAGTGATGGTGTAGGTGAAAGTGTATAAAATACAGGAGCTTTTGTATCAGTACTTTGTTTTAAAAACTGAGATTTAATTAACAGATATACAAAAGTTTGCGGCTAGTTAGATTTGCATTCCACTTTAAAATGTGATCCTAAATGTATTTTCAGCATTAAATGAAATGACATTACCTTACTATTCTTTATTGTTTTACGTGGCTACCCCACAAAACAGTGTCAGTAGATATTGTAAGCACCTAAATGACTTAGTTAAACATTGCAAAGAAGAGCCAGGCATGGTGGCACATGCCTGAAGTCTCAGTACTCTGGAGTGCAAGTGTGAGGCCAGCTTGAGCTGTGTATGTGTGTAGCAAAACCTTTCAAAAGAAAAGATTGCTTGAAAATATTGACAATTACTGATGACAAAGCTTAGAGATCTAAATTTTAAAATAGGCTTTTTAGAAAGCTTAGTTTAAAATAATTAAACTTGGGTTGGTGGATATTACAATTTTAATCTTAAAAAATGAAAACCAGTGGGAAAAATATGTGTATACTTAAGGAAGAGTTTGAACATTATTTTGAAGTGAAAAAAAAAATGGTTAAGTTTGTGGAAACAAGTTCTTTCTATCTATCTATCTATCTATCTATCTATCTATCTATCTATCTATCTATCTATCTATCTGCCTATCCTTTATCTCTCCCTCTCTCTCTCTCTCTCTCTCTCTCTCATCTATCTGCCTGCCTATCCTTTGTTTGTTTGTTTATTTATTTATTTGTGTATGTGTGTGTATGTATATGTATGTATGTTTCAGATAGGGTTTCTGTATAGCTCTGGCTGCCCTGGAACTTGCTGGCATAAAAGATGTACACAGCCACCACCCAAAATTTTTATTTAAAAATATTTAAAGTAATTTTTTTTTTTTTTTTTTTTTTTGGTTTTTCGAGACAGGGTTTCTCTGTGTAGCTTT